CAGGATGGCTGTAAGCAGCACCTCCTCACCTTCTGATCCCTCATTTAGGCACCACATGCCTTTTAATGAGGGGCTCTCTCCTCACCACTATACCAGAGTCCACAGGCAAACCTGACAGAGTTTACCCTTTGGGGTCCCTTGTGGGGACTGCCCTGTCAACTGCTGATTGAATATCAGTAACGGTGAGATTCAATCCACTCAGTTAGCAGGAAGGACCTGTTGCCCTGCCAGAAATGCTGATACCCCAGCCTGCCACTGGGTACCCTGCTCCAGGCAGATGATCTAAACCCAATCCCCATCACAGTGAAGGCTGGAGGCTGACTGGAAATCCCAATCACACTACATTACCAGTTTTAATAAGGTTCTCAATTAATCTCATTACCTGCCTGCTATGATATAAAGCATTTGCTTTGCCCCTAGCAGCTCTGCTTGATGCCACATGGGTGTTTTTCCTGGTAGTGGTATGTTAATATAACCAGAAGATTAGAATCTCCTCAGTTGAGGACTGACTCCAAGCTGACTGGCCACAGCCAGTGTACTGTGCACAAGTAAATAAAGGGGAACTTGGTGACAGGACCCGGCCTCTGTGCAGTTATTTCGGCATCCATGTGGCATTGTGTGCCATTATCACCAGCACAGTTGTGATTCAATGCAATCTGACCCAAACAACATTCCAGCAATAATCCTGAAGACTTATGTCCTAGAACTTGCTGCATCTCTAGCCAAGCTGTTTTAGTACAACTAGAACATCAGCATCTACCTGACAGTGTGGAAAATTGCCCAGGTACATCTGTACACAAAAAGCAGGACAAATCCAACACTGACAATTACCACACAACAAGCTACTCTCAATCATCAGTAAAGTGATGGAAGGTGTCATTAACAGTGCTATCAAGCAAAACCTGCTCAGTGATGACCAGTTTGGGTTCCGCCAGGGCCAATCAGCTCCTGACCTCATTATAGCCTTGGTTCAAGCATGGAGGCGAGGTGAGGCTGGCTAACCTTGACATCAAGGCTGCATTTGACCAAATGTGGCATAAAGGAGTCCGAGCAAAGCTGGAGTCAATGGGAATCAGAGGGCAAACTCCCTGCTGATTAGACTCATACTGACATGAAGGAAGGTGGTGATGGTTGTTGGAGGTCAGTATCTCAGCTGTAGGACATCTCTGCAGGAGTTCCTCAGGGGCACGTTTTCCACTCTGTTCATTTGCCTTTTGCCCACAGGGATCAATAACTTTATTCCTGGAATTCTCAATTTCTTTTCTTCTTTTGTGGGATGTGGGTGTCACTAGCTGGACCAGCATTTATTGCCCATTCCTTGTAGAAGGTGGTGGTGAGCTGCCTTCTTGAACCGCTGCAGTCCATGCGCTGCTGTTATGCTCACAATGCTGTTAAGGAGGGAATTCCAGGATTTTCACCCAGTGACAATGAAGGAACTGCGATACATTTCCAAGTCAAGATGGTGAGTATCTTGGAGGGGAATTTGCAGGTCGTGATGCTCCCATGTATCTGCTGCTCTTGTCCTTTGAGACGGAAGAGATTGTGGATTTAGAAGGGGCTGTCTAAGGAGCCTTGGACAATCTCTAAGGTGCATTTTACACACTGCTGTAACTAAGTGTTGAAGGTAGAGGGAGCAGATACAATGCTGATATAGTGGGCTGCTCTGTCCTGGTTGGTGTCAAACTTTTTGAATGTTGTGGAGCTGTATTCATTGAGCAATGTGGGCAGTATTCCATTACACTCTTGATGTGCTGGTTAAATGGTGGAGAGGCTTTGTTTTCTAGATTCCTAGCTTCTGACTTACTCTTGTAGCCTCAGTACTTATGTGACTAACCCAGTTCAGCCTCTGGCAAATGGTATCCCTCAGTCTGTTGACAGCGGGGAATTTTGTGAGGTGATACCATAAAATGACAAGAGGCTACATTTTTAAATATTTGTTTGTGGGATGTGGGCATTGCTGGCTGCCCAACATTTATTGCCAGTCCCAAATTGCTCTTGAGAAGGTATTGGTGAGCTGCCTTCTTGAACTGCTGCAGTCCACCGGCTGTAGGTTGACCCACAATGCCATTAGGGAGGGAATTCAGAGGAGGAGGCTCCACAAATATCAATGATGGGGGAGCCCAGCACATCAGTGCAAAAGATAAGGCTGAAGATTTCACAGCAATCTTCAGCAAGAAGTGGATGATCCATTTCAGCCTCCTCCAGTGGTCCCCAACATTACAGATACCAGTCTTCAGCATTTTTGATTCACTCCATGTGATATCAAGAAACGGTTGGAGACACTGGATACTGCAAAGGCTACCAGCCCTGACAAAATTCCGGCAATAGCACTAAAGACTTGTCCTCCAGAACCTGCCGTTCCCCTAGACAAGCTGTTTCAGTGTGGTTACAACACTGGTATCTACCTGACAATGTGGAAAATTGCTCAAGTATGTCCTGTACACAAACAGCAGGACAAACCCAACCCAACCAATTACTGTCCGATCAGTCTACTCTCAATTATCAGTAAAGTGATGGAAGGTGTCATCAGCAGTGCTATCAAGCAGCACCTGCTCAGCAATAACCTGCTCAGTGACGTCCAGTTTGGGTTCCGCCAGGGCCACTCAGCTCCTGACCTCATTACAGCCTTGGTTCAAACATGGGCAAAAGAGCTGAATTCCAGAGGTGAGGTGAGAGTGACAGCCCTTGACATCAAGGCTGCATTTGACCAAGTGTGGCATCAAGGAGCCCTAGCAAAACTGGAATCAATGGGAATCAGATGGCAAACTCAGCAGTGGTTGGAGTCATACCTAACGCATAGGAAGGTAGTCTTGGTTGTTGGAGGTCAGTCAACTCAGCTCCCGGACATCTCTGCAGGAGTTCCTCAGGGTAGTGTCCTAGGCCCAACCGTCATTGGCTGCTTCATCAATGACCTTCCCTCCATCATAAGGTCAGAAGTGGGGATGTTCGCCAATGATTGCACAATGTTCAGCACCATTTGTGACTCCTCTGATACTGAAGCAGTCCATGTTCACATGCAACAAGATCTGGACAATATCCAGGCTTGGGCTGACAAGTGGCAAGTAACATTTGCACCACATAAATGCCAGGCTATGAGCATCTCCAATAAGTGACAATCTAACCGCTGCCTCTTGACATTCAATGGTATTACCATCACTTAATCCCCACTATCAACACCCTGGGAGTTATCATTGACCAGAAACTCAACTGGACTCACCACATAAACACAGTGGCTACAAACGCTGGTCAGAGGCTAGAAATACTGCGGCGAGTAACGTTCTTCGTGACTCCTGAAAGTCTGTCCACCCTCAACAAGGCACAGGTCAGGAGTGTGATGGAATACTCCCTACTTGCCTGGATGAGTGCAGGCCCAACAACACTAAAAAATCTTCACACCATCCAGGACAAAGCAGCCCGCTTGATTGGCACTACATCCACAAGCATCCATTCACACCACCAACAACGCTCAGTCGTAGCCGTGCGTACTATTTACAAGATGCACTGCAGAAATTGACTAAAATCCTGGCACATTCCAAACCCATGACCACTTCCAGCTCGAAGGACAAGAAATATGGGAACACCACCAACTCCACGTTCCCCTCCAAGCCACTCATCATTCTGACTTGGAAATATATCGCTGTTCCTTCACTGTCGCTGGGTCAAAATTCTGTAATTCCTTTCCTAATGGCATTGTGAGCCAACCCACAGCAGGTGGACTGCAGCAGTTAAAGAAGGCAGCTCACTGCCACCTCAAGGGTAACTAGGGATGGGTAATAAATGCTGGCCAGCCAGCGATGCCCACATCCCAAAAATGAATTTAAAAATTTGAGTGGTGCTAAATGTTGTATAAATCTTGCATGGATTCTGCTCCACTGTAATGGGATATTGTGTAGATGAAAGATGATGAGTATACAATTAAATGCTTGTTGGATTGGTTAGCCTATAACAAAGCCCTTTGTTAATACGCTAGAGGAGGGCTTGTGATAAAGTGGTTCGTATACCTACCTTTAGGCTCAAAACTTTTGGTTCAAGTCCCACTCTAAGCCTTGACAACCAAAGAAGGAGTGTTTATAATGCAGTCAAACAGGTTGAGTACAAACTTGGAAATCATTCATGGTAGGCAGTAAGAACAGGAGAGATTCCTGGTCAGCACGATGATCAAATTGGAGCCTCTACTCTCTCTGTTCAAGACTCCTGACTACATCATACATGTACAAGTGTGTACTGCCTTGGCAACTCCAATTCCTTGCGTCTTCTTGATTGGACCAGTTGGTTAAATGGCCAATGTGACCAGATTGCTGGTAGCAACACAGGGTCAATGCCTGCTTTGGTGGAATTCTGTATATGCCTCCTTGTCCTATTCATCATGGAGATCATGGTATCAGATTTGTCTTCAGACAGACAGCTCAAGAAGAGGAAGAAGAAGAAAAATGCCAAGGCTCATGGAATATAGTCATACCAATTTGGCTCAAGGCAAAGAGCATAGTATCCATCCTTTCCAGTGTGGATGTGGTGGCCAACTCCATAAATACACTGGTGACCCAAGTCTGATGCAGCATCTGATAGCCAACACCTTAGCTTCAAATATTAGACAAGCAGAAACCACCCAAAAATCTTATTGCTCCCTACAACTGAATATATAAAATAAATTGTATAAAATATTGCCTACGTATCTTCCAGCAGGTAAACTATAGATATCTAATTGCCCTCTCTTTCTGGAGAAGAGGGCTTTTGCATGGTCAGTCCTTATGGGGTAACAGGAAATTGAGCAAATTCATGCAAAATATTTAAAAATAATTAGTGGTCATAACTACAAGCTTTTAGCTTCAGTTACCTCCCCCATCCTTACATGTTTCCTGAATTTGACAGTCAATTTTTTTTTGTAGTTTTTGCAGGCAAAAATGTGTTTGAGAACAACATCCTCGCAATTTCCACAACTTCCTGCAAAATAGTTGCCACAACACAATCACATGCTCTTTCAATATTCAAAATTCACTGTATTAGACGTACAGCTGAAGAGATGAAGGGACAAACAGTGAATCATGAACTAATAAACAATTGATAATAACATGCTAACAAATGGCTGTTCAATTTCATTTCAGGTTAATGTTTTATCTGCTATTCAATGAAAATGTTGCTTTTGCTTACCGTATAAGTGATGTCTGCTGCATCACCAATTTCCTCTATGCTGTTAATAACCTCAGGAATTGTCTCATTGGCTGCTATCTTAAAATGGTCATCCTTTATAGTTCTGAGATAAGAAAAAGACATTTGAAGGCAAAGCAGATTTCTGCCTTTTTGTTTATTTTTCAGTCAATAGTTTGACTAAAAAGGAAAGCAAAACAACACCCGCATTATTGTAAGATAATAAGATATAAGAAATCCAGCAAACATGGGGCCAGTTTTGTAACTGAAACAATCAATATTACAAATTTGTGCTTTAAAGGTAAACTCTCTAAGCACAAGTTTATTGTAGGTATTATTGATAGTCTATCAATTCAACTCACCATCAGCTAATATACATTTTGTAATACCTTCAGTGCAAATATATTTTTCTAGCTTCATTTCAGCAAAATTAATTAACATCAGTTTTAAATTCTTAACAACCTACAGAGCATTTATCAAACATTGATGATGACTCCTAGTTGATATGTTAGTATGTAGGTCGCTCCTATATTGCTAACCTTGGTATGGAGTAATATTCACACAGGCAGTCAACGTATGACACATTTAGGATCATTGTTTCTAATACATAATTTTATCTTTGCCTTCATGGGCACCTTAAACTCATGTGGTTTTGGCAGACAGAGGGGAGTTACTGTTTTATCTTGTGCTTTAAGCCAATAGCGATCCTTGCACATTGAGATTCCAGTCTGGAGTTTCTCTGGGCTGTAGAATTCTGCACTTAACTGTCCTTGAGGCTGTTTCTTCCTTATCTCTAAGTAAAGCTCTTCCTGGATGTATTGCAAAGTTCCTTTATTTACAACTGTATATTGCAGGCTACCAAATACAGCTCACTAGTATATTGTGTAAGACCTCTCCCTTTGTATGTGCATTCTAAACTGGTATCTTCTCTTGTGCTGACCTTGCTGATGCCAGAATTCATTTCATCAGTTACATTATCATCATTTAAATGAATCTCAGTATCCTACAGTAACTACAGCTTAGTTCTTTCAAGCCATAAGGACATGTTACCTTGAAAAGAGAAGCCCAGCTTCATACAATACTGGAACCGAGATGGTGACTTCATTGTCAGTCAATGTTTCATTTTGTTCACTGCTGTCACTGAAACGTTAGAAATAGAATTTACATTTCACAAAACCTGTTCTTCTGTAGTTTCAACTTAAAACAAAAAAAACTTTAATAATTTCAAACTGGTGTCACTCAACTAAAAATAGCATGTAATTACAGTTCCAAACTGTTTCTGCTAGAATATTACATTTTAATTCTTTGCAATAAAATATGATCTTGGTTCTTATTTTAGGGCTTTTGGAATCCGTATTCCAATGTGGACAGTTTTCTAAATCAGCATTATTTATTCAATTAATCTTAACATGGAACTTCTATCTATATTTCAGCACAATACCATTTGTAACAATGCAACATTAAATTAAAACCAGTTTCTTGTGTATTTTTCCATACCTTGTTGCCTCCAGGTGTAAGTGAACATCACCGAGGAGATGAGAGCTATTAAACTCGAATTTCATCTTAAAAGAAACCTGAAAATATGACAGAAGGGTAAAGAAGTAAACCAGAACAACAGCATCAGAAAAAAGGGGCAGACCATTGCCATTAATGCCAATCAGCCAGTGTATTTTTATGTCATTGTAATTTCTAATCTCTGCTCTTCAAAAACATATTAATGTTATTGAACTAGTTTTGGATCACTTTTTCTATTATGGCTGGGTTTTAACTTATCTGGCCAATCAAGAACAGAAGATTTTGGTAAGGAAGTTGTGAACCCAGGAGTTGATCTTGGAGAGAGAAGAAGAAGTTGGTTAGGGGCAGAGTGGATTTTGATTTAGGAGGTCAATATTGGGAAATGGGAATGTCAATGCTGTGGTCCTGGTGTGAGGGGAGAAGCCAAAATTGGAGACCTGACGGAGGACAGGAGATGGGGATTTGGAGACCTGGAGGGAGAAGAGGCTTTCAGTGTTTTTGGCGGGATCAGATGAGAAACTGAGAGAAAGGAGATCCCAAGCACAGCAGATTGCTCACAGAACTGGAAGTATTTAGGTTGTGAGATAAGGGGCTAGAGGTTGGAATCCTCAAGGGAGGTGGCTTTGTCCCAAAGAAGACTATTGTATCAGAGGAAAGATATTAGAGGTCTGAGATGCAGAGGTAGTTTGGCAAGGTTCATAGAACTGGATGGAGGGGGAGGATTGGAGGTCTTGTAGGGAAATTTAAGGGGAGGGTTCTTGATAAAGTAGTTTGCTCAGACAGAAAAGCTGGATTGAGAAGGTAGGTGGACACATTGATCTGTTAAAATAGCTCTTGCCAAAGCTTGCAGCCACATTATAATATCTTAAGTGCCAACCCAGTTCCTTGGAGTGGATTTTTTGCCTCCTAAATTCCATAAGGCCATAAGATATAGCAGCAGAATTATGCCATTCAGTCCGTTGTGTCTTTGAGTATAAGAGTTGTGATGTCATGTTGCAGTTTTACAGGACGTTGGTGAGGCCTCTTCTGGAGTACAATGTGCAGTTCTGGTTGCTCTGTTAGAGGAAGGATATTATTAAATTGGAAAGGTTCAGAGAAGATTTACTAGGATGTTACCAGGAATGAAGGGTTTGAGTTATAAAAATAGGCTGGATAGGGTGGGATTTTTTTCACTGGAGTGTAGGAGGTTGAGGGGTGACCTTAGAGAGGTTTATAAAATCATGAGGGGCATAGATAAGGTGAACAGCAAGGGTCTTTTGCCTAGGGCAGGGGAAGTCAAAACTAGGGAGTGTATTTTTAAGGTGAGAGGAGAAAGTTTTAAAAAGGACAGGCACAACATTTTTACACAGAGAATGGTTAGTGTGTGAAATGAACTGCCAGAGGAAGTGGTGGATGCAGGTACAGTTCCAACATTCAAAAGACATTTTGGTAAGTACATGAATAGGAAAGGTTTAGAGAGAATATGGGCCAAATGCAGGCAGGTGGAGCTAGTTTAGATCGAACATGGTCAGCGTTGACTAGATGGACCAAAGGGTCTGTTTCTAATGTTGTATGACTCTATGACTCTATGGGTCTGCTCCGTTATTTGGTCATAGCTAATATGTTTTGCACCCTCATTCTCCTGCCTTCTCCCCTTAACCTTGGTCCCCTTATTAATCAAGAACATATCAATCTCTGCTTAAATATACTCAATGACTTGGCCTCCGCAGCCCTCTGTGCTAATGAGCTCCTTAGAGCCACCACCCTTTGGCTGAAAAATTTCCTCCTCATCTCAGTTCTAAGTGATCATCCCTTCACCCTGAGGCTATGCCTCCAGGTCCCAGACACTCCTACTAGTGGAAACATCATCTGCACATCCACTCTATCCAGGCTTCTAAGTAATCTTTAAGTTTCAATCAGATCCTCCCTCATCCTTCTAAACGCCATTGACTATGGACAAAGAGCCCTCAACTGCTCCTCATATGACAAGCTCTGGGATCATTCTTGTAAACTCCTGCAGTAATGCGCTTTGGCTGAGATGATTGGCCTTCAAAGACTGCAACTATCTTCTTTTGGGCTATATATGACTCCAGCCGGTGGAGAGTCCCCTCCCCCTGATTCCCATTGACTGCAGTATTCTAGGGCTCCTTGATGCCAGTTAAATGCTGCTTGCTGTCCATGGCAGTCACACTTATTTCTTCTCTTGATCTCAGCCCTTTTATCTAAGTTGGAATGAAGGTTGTAATGAGATCAGAATCTTGGATGGCCTGGCAGAACATAACTGCACATCAACAAGTAGGTCATTGTTGAGTTAGTGCCTCTTGATAGCACTGTCAAGACTCTTCTTTCACTTTCCTGATATTTGAGAGCTGATTGATGAAGCAATAATCTGAATTGTATTTGTCCAGGGTTCTGTGGACAGGGCAATTACTCACATATCCGGGTAAATGCCATTTGATGTAACTGTACTGAAATAGGTTAGTTAGGGATGTGACAAGTTCTGAAGTACAATCTTCAATACTATTCCTGGAATGCTATCCGGGGCCGTAGCCCTTCAAGTATTCAATGCCTTCAGCCATTTCTTGATATCACGAGGTGTAAATGGATTTGAATCTTGATTGAATGGCAGAAGACCCACAGGCACATTGAAAAGGTTAATGTAAAAAGCTTCTTTTCTCTTCTGAGAGAGTACAGAACAAGGAGTCACTATTTAAAAATTAGAGAGACTGAGATGAGGGGTTTATTTATTGCATAGTAGCTGGTGAGTCTTTGAAACTTTCTTCATCAAAAGGTAGTCAAAGTAGAGTTTTTGAATATTTAGTAAATTGGAGGTAAATAGATTCTTGATAAGCAAAGGTATGAAAGATTATCACATGTACGCAGGATTGAGGAATAGGCCAATCAGAATGGTGGAGTATCACGGAATCATAGAAAGCCTACAGTGTAGTAGGAGGCTATTCACCCCATTGAGTCCCACACTGACCCTCTGAAGAGCATCTGACCCAGAACCACCCTCATACCATATTCCTGTAACCCTAGTATGTTCTAGATGTTGAGTGGCTTTCCCTGATCTGCTCCTAATTCAAATCTTTGTAGGAAGGTTGGCATCTCTAAGGCTGCAAATTTTATTTGAAACTTACAGGTCCCCTCTCCCGGGGCCCACCAATAACTCCTGCCCACATTACTTTCTTGTAAGGCCTGGACCCTCTACAATTGTGGGGCTCCAGTGTGGTGGTGGTGGTTTGGAAGCAGGAGGTGGGGGTTCCTTCTGGCAGACTTTTAGTGGCCCTTTCCTCTGACTGAACAGTGGCTCCAGCTAAGTGGGCCTTCCACCCATGGGGTCTTAATTTTTTTTCTATTTATTCAGTTTGTGGGATGTGGGCTGGCCAGCATTTCTTGCCCGTCCCTAGTTGCCCTTGAGAAGGTGGTAGTGAGCTGCCTTCTTGAACCACTGCAGTCCACCTGCTGTGGGTTGACCCACAATGCCTTTAGGGAGAAAATTCCAGGATTTTGCTCCAGCACAGTGAAGGAATGGTGATATATTTCCAAGTCAGGGTGGTGAGTGGCTTGAAGTGGAACTTGAAGGTGGCGGTTTTCCCATATATCTGCTGCACTTGTCCTTCCAGATGGAAGTGATTGTGGGTTTGGAAGGTACTGTCTGAGGATTTTGGTCAGTTTTTTTTATTCATTTACGGGATATGGGCGTCGCTGGCCAGGCAGCATTTAATGCCCATCCCTCAATGCCCAGAGGGCAGTTAAGAGTCAACCACATTGCTGTGGGTCTGGAGTCACATGTAGGCCAGACCAGGTAAGGATGGCAGTTTCCTTCCCCAAAGGACATCAGTGAACCAGATGGGTTTTTCCCGACAATCGACAATGGATTCATGGTCATCATTAGATTCTTAATTCCAGATATTTATTGAATTCAAATTCCACCATCTGCCATGGCAGGATTCAAAACCATGTCCCCAGAACATTATCTGGGTCTCTGGGTTAACAGTCCAGCGATAATACCACTCGGCCATCACTTCCCCCATGTCGTGCATCTAGTAGATAGTACACGCTGCTCCTGAGTGTCGGTGGTGGATTCTTTTGGATGTACTGCCAATCAAGCATGGTGCTTGAGTGTTGTTAGGGCTGCGCTCATCCAGGCAAGTGGGGAGTATTCCATCACACTGCTGACTTGTGCCCTGTAGATGGTGGACAGGCTTTCAGGAGCCAGGAAGTGAGTTACCCACTGCAGTATTCCTAGCCTCTGACTGCTGCTGTAGCCAATGTGTTTATGTGGTGAGTCCAGTTGAGTTTCTGATCAATGATAATTCCCAGGATGTTGATAGTGGAGGATTCAGTGATGGTAAGACTATTGAATGTCAAGGGGTGGTGGTTGGATTGTCTCTTATTGATGATGCTCACAGCCTGGCATTTGTGTGGCGCGAATGTCACTTGCGACTTGTCAGCCCAAGCCTGGATATTGTCCAGATCTTGTTGCATTTGGACACTGACTGCTTCAGTATCTGAGGAGTCATGAATGGTGCTGAACGTTGTGCAATCATCGGCGAAAATCCTCACTTCGGACCTTATGATGGAGGTAAGGTCATTGGTGAAGCAGCTGATAAGATGGTTGGCCCTAGAACACTACCCTGAGGAACTCCTGCAGAGATGTCCTGGAGTTGAGATAATTGACCGCCAACAACCACGACCATCTTCCTACGTGTCAGGTATGACTCTAAACATCGGAGAATTTGCCCCCTGATTCCAGGAGACAACCCAACCTTTGGCCTTGTTTATGTGTGATTAGTGTATTGGTCAGAGGACCTTCCAGCAAAGATGCAATGTGGGACTCTCACTGAATCTCTAGCCATGGTTGAGACTCCCGAAACCACAGCAAGATTCAAGAAGCACTGAAATTGTACATATGTCAATGGTGTGATTTTGATTCATTCACATAAACACAGTCCAACTGCCTGTATTTACTTTAACCAAGTGGTTAAACACATGTGAGTTTCTGGGTCAGCCTTCCTGCTCCTCGGATGCTGCTTGGCCTGCTGTATTCATCCAGCTCTACCCCTTGTTATCTCAGATTCTCCAGCATCTGCAGTTCCTACTATCTCTGAGTTTCAATGTACAATTTTTGGTACTGTGTAAAATTTGCAAAGAAAGTGGAGTGCATGCAATCTACTGAACCATCAATGAACCAGGTATTTGTAAATATTTCAAAAGCAATGCACTGCCTTCTAGATCGCAAAATTGAACAGTTCCTACCTCTGCTCCAGGTGTGAGAAAGGGATATCCCACTTTACATGTCACATTGTTGGATTCTGTTGGCACGCAATCATCATTTTGCTTTAAGGAGACCAAAAGACATGTAAATTCATTGTTTTAATGGAATAATGATATCAATTATAAAGCATTGATTATTGGCTTTTGACTGCATAATCACCACTGATTTTTTCTACTGTTTTATTTTTGTCCCTCACTTGAGGGGTTCTCTGCATTATGAACTGCTCCTCAGTCAGCAAGGTTACCTGGCAACCTGTTTCACAGGTTCTGTGTACATCTCTCTGTAGATGTACTGGAATATGCATAGGAATGGAAACAGCAGTGACAAAGCTTTGCAAGATATTGCTATAGTCACATGGAAGCACCCACAATTGATAGCATGATGTAAATGAAGAAATGTTAACAAATACTTGGCATTGCTATTTGTGTTCCTTTTTCGAGGAACTTTCTTGTCTCTGGTAGGTAATCCAATTGACATTTAAAACATACCCAGAAACAATTTTAATCCAAGGTAAAACCAAAAGAACTGTGGATGATGGAAATCAGAAACAAAAACAGAAACTGCTGGGAAAGCTCAGCAGGTCGGGCAGCATCTATGAAGAAAAATCAGAATTAATGTTTGGGTCCAGTGACCCTTGCTCAGTTAATCCAAAGTGATCTGATTTAAGAGAAATAAATAAAAATCATTGTTGGAAATGAAGTTGATTATTTCAGCGTACATACTCAGTAACAACTTGAAAAGAGAAATGAATTAAAAAATCATCCAATTATATCAGAATGAACTCTACTAATTATTCATCACCATTTCATTTATGATCGCCCATGTGTAATTGAAAACTAACCTTCCATTTGGTTTTTTTCACAATTGTAGAACAAAATCAGAGCCAATTTAGTTAACTGTCAATATGAATCCAAACATCTGGATGTTATATGTTCAGTGCTTTATACATAAGACATGTTTGAAATTCTGATTTTCTACTGTTGCCATCATTGCAAGCCCTGCAAAATGTGATGACTGAATTGAAATTGATGGATTGTTGGAGTACCTCTGTAACAACATAGCCGAGACAATTTGAAACACATTAGAGAATGAAACAAAGACTCTCCAGAGTAATGTATCCTTTTAGATTTCTTGAGAGTTGATTTTATTATTCGTTTGAGTAGTTGTTTGATAAAGCTTTATGATTGCTCCAGGATTTGCCCTCATTCAAAGCCATATTTTGCTGTCTAATCCACTAGGCAAAAGAAGATTACAGATTCGGAGAACGATACCCAGCATCAAACTAGTTATTTCAGGAAACAGTCCAACTTTGGCAGGCAAACAATTTTAGGCTATTTTTTTACATTGCTATAATCAAGCAGTGAGATGGAAGAACACCTAGGCTTACAATTACAGTAGCTAACACACTACTACATGAAGTGCAGGAAAGGAGAATTGTCCTTTTTACCGTTCAAAAGGAAGTCTTCAACATTGCCTGGTAGATTGTGACATAATACATTATTATTGCTGAAACAATTCAGTGACACTGCCAACTTATGAAGAAGGTCATTGACCTCAATAAACCAATAAATCAGAACTGAAGAAGACCATATTCGACTCAAAATGTAACTCTGCTCCTCTCTCCATTGCTGCTGACAGACCTGTTGAGAATTTTGACCTCTTTCCTGCTTTTTATTTTATACATATCACAGATGCTTTCATTTTTCCAATGAAAAGCCAACCTTGTAGGCCTTCTAATGCTTGCCTTGCGTGCCCATGCTGCAGTGTTTCACCAGTTCAGGTTGCAATTAGACATTGAAAATATTTTGGTGTAGTTACATCTTAAAAGACCCCAATAAAAAAAAGCCTTCACTCTCAAGCCAAGTACGTCAGATATAATCATACATCTGTGAACATGAAATTGCTGCTGAATGGCCATTTTGTCACTGTATTTACTTCTGCTTCAGACTACCTCTTGCTTGCAGGATAAGGTCTCCAAAAAATAAATATGACTCTGAAATAGAACCCTGCATCTATAAACCTTTCAGTTGTTAAGGGTGACTGTAAAATACTGACATTTTAATAGCTATTGTACTTCAGAATCAACTTAATTTGTTGTAAAAGTGGTTTGGGAAGTCATAAATCATGAAAAGTACGACATGAATGCAAGTCTTTCTTTCCATTATCTTTGTACCGAAAGCAGAGATGAATTGATGCCCTCACAGAGTTGAAGATCATTAACATTCCAACCATATTCTTTTTCCACCTCCTAACTCATTTTCACTAGGTACACAGGAGACTGCCACAAAATGTAAATAATATCTGAAGTGGAGTTACATAACCAACATTCTCACAGGCCCTGAAATTTATTTCTGGCAGTGGTCAGGGAGGTTAACAGAAGCAAAACAAAACTCGCAGATGACGCTTTCTTTCTTACAGATTATCAATCTCATTGCTCTCTGCGAAGCATGGATCAATAGAAAAGCTGATCAGGGCAAAGGATCCCATTCGACTGGGATTGCATTCACTGTGTTCAACATTCCCTCCCTTCACTATTGACACAGAATGATAGTTGTGCGTACTGTCAACAAGATACACTTCAGGAACTTACCAAGGCTCCTTCAATAGCACCTTAAACCTGGAAGGTCTACTATCTAAAAGGACAGGAGCAGCATGTACATGGGAATGACCCCATCTGCAAGTTCCCTTCCAATGCACCTACCATCCTGACTTGGAAATATATCACTTTTCCTTCAGTGTCATTGGGTCAAAATCTTGGAATTCCATCCCAACATCATTGTGTTGGTACCAATGCTCAAAGTATTGCAGCAGTTCTAGAAGGCTGTTTCCCACCGCTTTCTCCAGGGCAATTAGGGATGGGCAATAAATGCTGGCAATGATGCCCACATCCAGTAAAGAAATGAAAAAAAAATGACCTTTGTATGCCCTGGTACAGGCACAAAGTTTATCAATAAGATTATTGTTTCCTTACCTCAACTCCAGTGAAATATATGTTTTTAGAAAAGGTCACAGTTATTCTTGAGTTGTAGGCATTTTCCTTTTGGTTTATTAATTTAATCGCCAGACTGAATTTCTTCTGATTAGATCGAACGATGTGAGGTTTCATTCTGTAATTTAAGATCAGTATTTGTCATTTTAAGATAATATAGAAATATTTAAGGTTTTGGAGTAGATCTGTAGCTTGGGTTGTGGGTGTTGAGGTTGGTTGGCTCGCTGAGCTGGTTTGTTGTTCCACAGACGTTTCGTTACCATGCTTGGTAACATCCTCAGTGCAGCCTCTGATGAAGCGTCGGTGTGTTTTCCCGCCTGGTTTTTAACTGGGTCAGGAGATGCCTACAGGAACAGCATCAGAAAGATTCTACACGCCCCGACACACTCATCACACTACCCTACATCAGGAACACGTCAGAACTCACCACAAGACTTCTACGACCGCTGGGCATCAGAGTGGCACACAAACCCACATCAACCCTACGACAAGTGCTCACTCGAACTAAAGACCCACTCCCCACCATGGACAGGACCAATGCCATCTACAAGATCCCCTGCAGAGACTGTGAGAAACACTACATTGGACAAACAGGAAGGAAACTAACAACAAGAGTACATGAACACCAACTGGCTACAAAAAGACGCGACCAATACTCACTCAACTCAATCCACATGGACAAGGAGAACCACGACTTCGACTGGGACAACACCAAGATCCTGGGACAGGCTAGGCAGAGACAAGCACGAGAATACCTGGAAGCATGGCACTCCACAAAGCATGCCATTAATAAACACATTGAACTCGACCCCATATACATTCCACTACGGAGGAAACCCGGAAGTGAGGCAATCCATCGCAATGGACCCCAGAGTTTAAAAACCAGGCGGGAAAACACACTGACGTTTCATCAGAGGCTGCTCTGAGGATGTTACCAAGCACGGTAACGAAACGTCTGCGGAACAACAAACCAGCTCGGTAAGCCAACCAACCTCAATATAGGAATATTATTTTTAATTGAAAAATTGAAGTTGGGGGGAAACATGCAGGATAGCATTGACCTTTGAAGAAATCATGGATTTATTACATTCAGCTCAGTTATGCAAGAAAAAAAAATGTCAATGTGACCATAATGTGAGAAAATCTGTTCTTGTTTATGAATCGAGTTCATATGACCAGGAGAATTCCTGGCTCTACAATTCCAACATTTGGAAATGTCTGGCTGGATATCAGACTTTTGTTCGAGGACAGATTACGTGAGAAGTCGTGTTGGGTGAGGCTGAAAGTGATGAAAAACGTGCTGTGTGAGGAGGGAGGTTGGGCAGGCGCCCTGCCTTGGAGTTCTGGCACTTTTGCTGAAATTTTATAAAAACAGATTAAATGGGAAACATCCCTCCAGCTCCACACACTCCACATCCATAAAATCCATGCCACTTCATGTGCTGTTCTCATTTTTTATTACCCCTCACACCCTCCATGTCACTGCCTGCCTTGTATCCATCTCCATGCTCCCTCATACCCTGCAGGCCAACCTATGCTGTTTAATTACCCCATCCCCTTGACTCTTTATTACTCATATTACAACTTAGTGCCAATCCATGCCCCCTCACTACCACCTTTTGCCTTTATACTTACTGTACTAACTTACTTAGAATCCATCATGGGAAGATCATAAAGTCCATGCAGAGTTGAGATTTCAAAAAAATCTATTAAGGGATGTTCTGTGTATATTCCATATTTCAGTATGGGTCATTTGCTCTGGGTCATTCATAAAAATCTATTTACTACATTTACATTGTTTCAACTACATAATGTTTTATAACAACAAATATTTCATTCAAGTGACCAATCCCTTGTAACAACAAGATTTTGAATTTACAGTCCTATTTCAAGGTGTAATCTGAACCATCAATTGAACAATGAAGTAACAGGAACCCAACTGTGACAACTGATGTGAAATCAGTCATGCAGCAGTAACACAGTAATTAAGGCCTTCAGGCATATGTAAAAAAAACCCCAGTAAAATAGCCTCAGAGATAGTCGGAACTGCAGATACTGGAGAATCTGAGATAACAAGGTGTAGAGCTGGATGAACACAGCAGGGCAAGCAGCATCAGAGGAGCAAGAAGGCCGATGTTTCGGGCCTAGACCCTTCTTCAGAAACGTCGGCCTTCCTGCTCCTCTGATGCTGCTTGGCCTGCTGTGTTCATCCAGCTCTACACCTTGTTATCTCAGATTCTCCAGCATCTGCAGTTCCTACTATCTCTAATATCGTTGAATGTTTATTGGCAGATATCTAAGAAATCAATCACCATTCACATTCTTACAGATAGATTGACTATATCTTTGCATGCATATTGGCTAAGGGTCAAGTGCTGTTTATTAAAAGGTTGAAATACACGATCTCTAACAGGTAAGAAAATCCTGAGACTACAGCCATACTTTGTTTGCATTGTCCATGTTTTTGCCTGTCAATTTCAAACACTGAAAAAAGAGAGACCAGAGTCAAATATTAGATTAGGATGTACTTATATGTACACACCCCACAAAAGTGTCACTCAATCTACAGCTTCAGGAAATTAGGTACGACCACTTTGCACCAGGCACTATTATATTGCCCAGGTTCTTGTTGTCGTGTAATCTTCCCAGGTCCATTGTTTAGAAACATCAATTGTCTGGATCGTTTTGAGCAGACCCAAGCAACTCACAGCATCATTTTAACACATTATCTTGAAGCAGAAACATAGAAAATAAAGGATTTGGAGAAGTAATTATTTTTTATTACTGTTTCATAAAACTTTAACACTTTAATGTTTCAGGTATTTATTCATATCAAGTGTTTTCTGGTTAGACAATATAACATGATACTAAAGTCCCGAAAATTATAGAGATGGCTGAACAGCTGGTGTATTGTTCAGGGATTCAGGTTTTTGGACAAGTGGAATGTTTTTTTGGAATAGAAAAGAGCTGTTCAAAAAGGATGGGTCTAACCCAAACTGGAAAGGGATCAATATCCTAGCAAGGAGATTTGCTAATTCTATTAAGGGAGACTTTATACTGATAGAGAAGGCAAATGGAGGAATTCTAAGTAGCAGTGTAAATGGAAGGATTGATGGGTTAGGTTCTGAATGTGAGGACAGAATGGCAATTAGAAAAGAAGGACAGGAGAGAGTCAGTGTATGTAGTAACTCTGAGGAACTAAATTGCATTAATTCCAATGCAAGGTAAGGCTGATGAACTCAGGGCATGTTTAAGAACATGGGATTGGGATGTCATTGCTATTACAGAAACTTGGCTGAGGGATAGACAAGACTGGCAGTTCAATGTTCTGGGTTATAGATGCTATGGGAAGGCTAGAAAAGGAGGCAAGAAAGGGGGGGCAGGTGTAGTTGGGGGAAGTGCCATTTTTGATTAAGGAATACATTAATGCTGTAACTAGGGAAGATATTTCTGAAAAATCGTCCACTGAAAATATATGTGTAGAAATTACAAATAAGAAAGGAAAGACCGCTTGGATGGGATGGTACTATAGGCCCTCCGATAGTAAGAGAGAAATTGAAAAACAAATATGTAGGGAGATGTCAGATATATGTAAGCATAAGAAGGTTGGAATAATGGGGGATTTTAATTTTCCAACCATTGACAGGGACTACCATAGTGTTAAAGATTTGGTGGTGAAGAATTTGTCAAATATGCTCTAGAAAATTTCTTTATCAATATGTGGATGCTCCTACTAGAGAAGGAGCAAAACTAGACTTTCTTTCGGGCAGTAAAACAGGGCGGGTTCCTGAAGTAAAAGTGGGGGAACACTTTAGGTCTAGCGATCATAGTTCCATTAGTTTTAAAATGGTTACGGAAAAGGATAAGCCTTCCATAAAAGTTAAAGTTTTTAATTGGAGTAAGGCAAATTTTAATGGTATGAAACAAGAACTTTCAAAAGTTGTTTGGAGTCGACTGTTCGCAGGTAGAAGGACATCTGACAAGAGTGTAAAAGATTGTGATGTCAAGAGTTCAGAGGCATTTTGTTCCTGTTAGAGTGAAGGGTAAGGCTGGTAAGATTAAGGAACAATGGATGATTAAAGATATTGAAGTGCTTGTCAAGAATAAGAGAGAATCTTATTTTAGATATAGACAATTTGGTTCAATTGAATCTCTTAATCAACATAAAGAGTGTAGGGGCATTCTTAAGAGAGAAATCAGGAAGGTAAAGAGGGGATATGAGATAGCATTGGCAGATAAGATCAAGGATAATATGAAGAGATTTTACATACACATTAAGAGCGAGAGGGTAACTAGAGAGAGAGTTGGGCCTCTTAAAGATCAAGGAGGTCGTCTTTGTGTTGAACCCCAAGAGATGGGAGAGATACTAAATGAATATTTCACATCAGTTTTTATTGTGGAGAAAGAAATAGTCTAGAAAATGCAGAGAAATAAACTCTGATATTTTAAGAATAGTTCACATTGCAGAAGAGGAGGTTTGGGAGGTCCTAGAGAACAGAAAGATGGATAAATCTCTGGGACATGATCTAATGTATCCCAGAATGCTGTGGGAAGTAGGGGAGGTAATTAAGAGACCCCTTGCAGAAATATTTGCATCATCTATAACTACGGGTGAGGTGCCTGATGACTGGAGGATGGCTAATGTTGTTCCTTTGTTTGAGAAAGGTTGTAAGGAGAAACTGGGGAACTATAGAGCTGTGAGTCTGACCTGGTTGTGGCTAAATTGTTGGAGGTGATGAAAAAAGGTAGGAGATATGGACATTTAGAGAGGCAGAAATTGATTAGGGATAGTCAGCGTGGTTTTGTGCAAGGAAAATCGTATCTCTCAAACTTGATTGAGTTTTTTGAGGAAGATACGAAAAAGATTGATGATGGCTGAGCAGCAGACTTCATTTATTTGGATTTTAGTAAAGCCTTTGGCAAGGTTCCGCATGATGGACTGTAAAGTTATGTCACATGGGATTCAGGGTGAGCTTGCCAATTGGACACACAATTAGCTTAACAGCAGGAGACAGAGAGCAATGGTGGAGGATTGCTTTTCAGACTGGAGGCCTGTGACCAGTGGTGTTCCACAGGGATTGGTTCTGGGTCCTCTTTTGTTTGTCATTCACATAAATGATTTGGATGAGAATATAGAAGACATGGTTAGTAAGTTTGTAGGTGCCATGGTAAACGGTGAATAAGGTTTTATAAGATTACAAAGGGATCTGGATCAAATGGGTCAATGGGCTGAAAAAAGGCAGGTGGAGTTCAACCTGGATAAATGCGAGGTATTGCATTTTGATACAATAAGCAAGGGTAGGGCTTATACAATGAATGGTAGGGCCTTGGGTAGTGTTGTAGAACACAGGGACCTAGGGGTGCAGGCACATAATTCTTTAAAGTTTGCATCACATTAGACAGGATGGCTAAAAAGGCATTTGACATGCTTGCCTTTGTTGCTCAGTCCTTTCAATACATGAGTTGGGATGTTATGTTGTGATTGTACAGGACATTGGTGAGGCCTCTTCTGGAATACTGTGTCCGGTCTGGTCGCCCAGTTATAGGAAGGATATTATCGAGCAGCAGAGGGTTCAGAAGAGATTTACCAGGATGTTGCAGGGTATGGAAGGTTTGAGAAAGGCTAGATAAGCTGGGACATTTTCCACTGGAGCGTAAGAAGTTGAGAGATGACCTGATAGAAATTTATAAAATAGGAGAGGTATAGATGGAGTTGATGGTATTTGTCTTTTCCTATAAGATGGGGAATTTCAAAACTAGGGGGCACATTTTTATGGAGAGGAAAGAAATTTAGAAAAGACATAAGAGGCAATTTTTTTACACAGAGGGTGGTTGGCATGTGGAATGAACTTCCTGATGAAGTGATGGATGTGTGTACAATTACAATGTTTAAAAGATGTTTGGATAGAAACATAAATAGGAAAGGTTTGGAGAGATATGGGCCAGGAGCAGGCAGGTTCTTTATTATTCTTTTATTTATTCACGGGATGAGGGCATCACTGACCAGGCAGCATTAATTGCCCAGAGGCCAGTTAAGAGTCAACCACATTGCTATGGGTCCTGGGTCACATGTAGGCCAGACCAGGTAAGGATGGCAGTTTCCTTCTCTAAAGGACATTAGTGAACCAGATGGGTTTTTCCCCAACAATCAACAATGGATTCGTCGTCATCATTAGATTCTTAATTTCAGATATTTTACTGAATTCAAATTCCACCAGCTGCCATGGCGGGATTCGAACCAGTGTCCCCAGAATGCTATCTGGGTCTCTGGATTAACAATCCAGTGATAATACCATTAGGCCACTGCCTCCCCTGAGGTATTGCACCCTGAGGAGGGACTAGTTTAGTTTGGGATTATGTTCGGCATGGACTGGCTGGACCGAAGGATCAATTTCCATGCTGTATGACTAAATGACTTGCTCCCAAACTGGAAAGGTTACAGTGTATTGTCATTTTTTTTATTCACACACAGGATGAAGGTATTGCTGCCTCGGCCAGCATTTATTGCTCATCCCTAATTGCCCAGAGGATAGTTAAGAATCAATCACATTCCTGTGGATCGAGACTCACATGTAGGCCAGACCAACTAAAGATGGCAGTTTCCTTCCCTAAAGGACATTAGTGAACCAGATAGCTTTTTTGACAATGGATTCATTGTCATCATTAGACTCTTAATTCCAGATTTTTTAAAATTGAATTTAAATTCCAAAATCTGCTCTTTACACCATCCTCTCTGGCAGGATTCAAACCCAGGTACATAGAACGTTGCCTGGGTGTCTAGATTAAAGACCAGCGATAATACTACTAGGCCATCATCTCTCCTATTTAGAGAACCTTCAAAGCTACTCTTCCTCTGAAAATGATTTGCACAGACAAGTAAGTTCAGAAGCATGGGGTAAAGAATGCAAACCCTACAAGTTTGGATGCCACCCTACCAGCTCCGCAGAGACAGTATTATGGGTAGGTAGAAAATTGTACTGCCACACACTGGGTCAGCTTCAAAAGTGTTCCCGCTTCCAGAGACCTTCCCGGATCTGAAATTCCTGTGGCAGTGCCTACCTGCACAGCAACAGTAGTTTTCTAATCAAGATGCTTAGAGAGGCACGTCGTGCTTGTTTTTGGTTGCAGCATGAATTTGATAAGCTGCACATAGACTGCTTGATGTGAGAGGAGGAATGAGATGTCTTTACAGAGGTAAGTTTAAGCAGCATTGCATTTGAGGCTGTTGTAGAGATCATGAGCAACCAAAAGCAAGGAGTGGGAGTGGTTGTGGTGTCTGTTCATATTGCAGCTTTGCCATTCAATGTGTAAATCATGGAGACGGATGTCTACAATGCCCAGATTATACTGTATCTTGCACACACTTATGCCTTGCATATGCTTGCCTGCCAACAATTCAACCCATAGCAGCACTCCTGCTGGTCTCACAGTGTGTGCTGCAGACCTCCATTGGAGTGCCCACTTTCTTGCACTTCCATCTCAGGAGTCTCTTTCCATAATCCTTATTGAATGATGAGGGCATAAAAAGGCTTCTCCATTTGCAGGAAGATTCCCAGTGCTGCTGCACCTTTGACCCAACTGGAGTTGGGACCTGGAAACGGTGCCAATATGTGAATATTTCCATTGAGGAGAATAGAATAGAATAGTCATTTATTGTCACATGTATTTTGTACAAAAGAAATGCAGTGAAGAGTATTTAGGTCACCATGCCACGGAGCCTACCGTGATAACAGAAGGCATAGATAAGAAAAATAGAATAAAATTAAGACAAAGTCCATCTTAATTCAATTTACAGCTCCTGGGTTCAAGAAAGACCTCTACACTGGGTCTTGCTTTTTTTTCTAAAGATGTTTAATTTTAACTATGGACTCTTACATAGAACTTACATAGAAAGCTGTGAATGCTGAGCTTGCTCAGACTTCAGTAAGACAGAAACATTTAAACCAATTACAAATTTCATTCAGGCAATAACATAAAAGGGAGAAAGTCATAGTGGAAAAGGAGATAAACATAACTGAAAGAGGACAGGTCACAGGAGAAAATGAAAGAAAGAACAATTAATACCATAGCTCTACGACTGTGTGTCCACAGGACTAGTGAGGTCCATTGGTTTTTAATAGAGTTACTTTAGGGGCAGACTAACTCCTGAATTATATAACATGCAACTTAAAGCTCTCAGCCAAGGTTTGTTCAATGTTGTCCATTCTGTCTATTTAACTTTAGCTATCTTGATACAAAGGCCCAATCTAGGAGGTGGGGGGTGGGGAGGTGAGGGATTGCCTGACATAAAATCATTGTTTATCCAGAGGGGATTTTCAGAGGAAGTATTCTAGACAGATATTTACATCCCGGCAGTGATGTTGAGAATAATCGGCTGTGTCTCAACATGAATACTTGAAAGTAAAATTGTTTTCCAAACAAATTTAATCCATTTCCATTTGGTTTATCAATTTCTCTCATGAGTAAATCTGATTGGTCAAGACTGGTAGCTCCAGTTAAATATAATTTTAAGTCTGCAAGTCTATTTAAACATTTCCGAAAATGTAGCTGACAATTTGCTTGCTTCAAATTGTCTTGCTCAATGTCGTGGAGAGTGAAGTAGGCTTGCATTATTTATGTGGTATCCTATGATTTCTGTACAAAAGAATTAATACAGGAGTTTGTTTCTTTCTACACTACACTAGTTTCATTTCATGCAATTGCATTTAACAATAAATTTGAATTTGCTGATAAAAAGCATTGTGCATATGCTCAACCTGTGAATGGTGCATTTATATCACAGGGATCCTTGGTTAGCACAAATAAAAGAAGCAATTCTGGAATAAGTCATTGGAATCTTTTTGCAGCTCTGCCACTTCCAGTGTTATTAGGAATTATAATGTAATTAGCATAGTCCTGTCTCACTACAGATGCCGGGGATAATTATATTCAGACTCACTCGTCCAAATATGGACAAACGGCTGAATTCAAGAAGTGTGGTTGAATGAAGCATTTAGCCAAGTATGGCATCATGATGGGTTAGCAACCTTAAAGTCAGTGGGTATTGGGAAAATCTCTCTATTGGTTTGAATCTATCACAAAGGAAAATAGTTGTCATTGTTGAAGACTAATTGTTTCAGCCCAGGCCATCTCTGTATATGCTGTAACAAGACTAAAGAGTCTGGATTCAGGTCTGATGATTCTGTTGGCCGGGGCACCGGAACAAGAGCCTTTTCAAACTGAGACAAGAAGAAATTTCGTCACTCAGAAGGTGGTGAGTCTATGGAATTCTCTACCACAGAAAGCAGCAAAAGTCACTGAATATATTTAAGAAGAAATTTATAGAGGATAAAAGCATCAAGTGGTGTGGGAAGAGTAAGTAGTATGATGTTGAGATGGAGGATCAGCCGTGACTCTGATGAATGGTGCTGCAGGCTCGATGGGCTGAATAGCCTTCTCCTGTTCACATTTTCCATGTTCTTAAGTTCCTCAGTTTCATGTCCTTGGCCTAACCATCATTCCTGCTTTATAAAGTCAGAGGTATGCATCATCACTGATGATTTTACAATGCACAGTACCAATTGCGAGTCCTCAGACACCGGAGCAGTCCACGTCAGATGCAGTAAGACTTGGACAATATTAATTAAGAAGCGGAAAGTAACAGCTAAGAAACGACTATCTACAGCAAGACAGAAATCAAACCATCTCCCCTGATATTCTTTGCTAATACAATTCCTGAAAGCCTCATTATCAACATCCTTGAAATGCACTGACTGGAATTGTAACAGAACCAGTCATATAGATAATTAATTTATAAGAAGAAGAATGATACAATCTTTAATTATTCCTATATGAGTACAAGTTGATGAAAAGTCCAGGAAAAATTTTTAGATGTGATGCCTGAAGTCATCATTTTTCTCAAATCAAGGAGTGAAATGTGTAATAAGCTGTCAGACAATGCATGATTACTCAATTTTACATTCCTTACAGACATAATGTCAAAACTGAATGAGTTGAACTGTGAATTGTAGAGAAAGGACAAAGACTTAGCACACATGATCAATGCTGTGAATGGATTTAAATTGAAACTGGGTCTGTAGTCTTCCCAATTAAAAACAAAACTCTGCAACACTTTCTGAGCTTGGAGAGCATGCTAGAAAACAAATCAAAGACAAGGAGAAATGGATCCACCCGGAAAACTTCTGTGCACACCTAAAAAAAGTTAATAGAGGAATTCAACAATGATACTGAGCTGAAAGTCAGATCAAGGGACAATGATTAAAGTTTTAGCAAAGATCTGTTTGATTTTTTGTGATTTGCAAAACAGAGAAACCTACTCATTCCTATCATCTTGTACTTTTAAAGTGAATGCTTACTTTGCTATCTCACAGAGGTATGTGGAGGCATTCTCACAAATGAAGATTATCAAGTTCAAATATTATACCTTCCTCACAATTGGAGACAAAATAAATATTAAATATTAACTCTGCTTTCTATCCGTAGATGCTGCCAGGCCTGCTGAGTTTCTTGAGCAATTTCTGTTTTTGTTTCAGATTTCCAGCATCTACAGTTCTTTGTTTTATTTTACTGGTTATATAAACTTGGTTTTAGATTTATATAGCACTAAAACTAAACTTTTTATATTTTTCAGGGTTCATCGAGGGTGACACTTAATTTTAATTAAGATGATCTTGAGCTTATAAAGATGGGGCACTGCTGTAGTAATCACTTTCACAAACTGAGATTAGGAAATCAGTGAGCACTACAGTGTTGCAAACAACTCTGAGCACAACTTGACTGAAAACAACAAATGCTGGCAATCACAGCAGGTCAGACAGTATCCATGGAGAGAGAGCAAGCTAATGTTTTGAGTCTAGATGACTCTTCATCATGGCTGAAATGAAGTGTGGAGAGGACAGCATTTATGAGGAAGGGTCACCGGACTCGAAATATTAACTCTGATTTTTTTCTTCACCGATATTGCCAGACCTGCTGAGCTTTTCCAGCAACTTCTGTTTTTGTTCTTGAAAGGACAGTAATTGGGATGGGGGGAGGGGAGGACATCATAACAAGTTAAAAGAAAAGGAAGAAATTGTTCACAATTTAAAAGTGTTGAACTCAATATTAAGTTCAGAAGATGAGATGTTTTTCTTCCAGTTGGGGCGGCACGGTGGCTCAGCGGTTAGCACTGCTGCCCCACAGCGCCAGGGACCCGGGTTCGATTCTACCCTTGGGTGACTGTCTGTGTGGAATTTGCACATTCTCCCCGTGTCTGCGTGGGTTTCCTCTGGTTTCCTTCCACAGTCCAAAGATGTGCAGGCTAGGTGGATTGGCCATGCTAAATTGACCATAGTGTTCAGGGATGTGTAGATTAAGCAGATGGGTCTGAGTGGGATGCTCTGAGGGTCGGTGTAGACTTGTTGGGCCGAAGGGCCTGTTTCCACGCTGTAGGCATTCTATGATCTATGATTTGCACTGCGATTCACCAGAGCAGTACAGCATGCCAAGGACAGACTGTGGGCATGTGAGCAGGACACTGTGTTAAAATGACCAGCTACAGGAAGGTCAGGGGCCTGCTTGCGTACAGACTGGAGATGTTCGGCAAAGTGGTCACCCAGTCTACATTTGGTTTCTCCAATGTAGAGTAGGCCACATTGGGTGCAGCGAATACAATACACAAGATTGGATAAGGTGTTTTGCAGGTGTTGCATCTTCTGCAGTTACATGTGAAGGTGCCGTGGAAGGGGGTGTGGTTTTGGTGGTTGTGGAATGGACTAGGATGTCCCAGAGGGAATGATCCCTGTGAAATGCAGACAGGGGGACTGAGGGGAAGATGTGTTTGGTGGTGGCGTTTTGCTGGAAGTTGCCTGAAATGTCAGAGAATGATCCTTTGAGTGCGGAGGGTGGTGGGATGAAACATGGGGACAAGGGGAACCCGTTCACAGTGTTGTGAGTGATGGGAAGGGGCAAGGGCTGAGGCACGGGTGATCGGTTGGATGTGGTTGAGGGCCCTGTCAACCACAGTGGGTAGGAAACCACAGTCATGGGAGAAGCAAGCCATGTCAGCAGCGCTGTTTCAGAAGGTTGAGCACAAGTTCCCCTTTGGGATCTTAGGGTTACAGAATTAATGATTAAACGTTATTGTGCAGTTTTATTTATCCATTTTACGTAATGTATGTAAAAAACTTTCACACTAGTTTAACAAAAATAAGGTGGAAGAAACTTTAGCCCCATTTACAAACCTGAAACAGATGTAATGTATTGATCAGTGCTTCCCAAACCTTTTTTCATATTTCTTCGTGGGATGTGGACAGTACTGGCCAGACCAGCATTTATTGCTCATCCCGAATATTCAGAAAGTAGCTACGAGTCATCCACATCATTGTAGGTGTGGAGTCACAAAATCACACAATCGTTACAGCACAAAAGGAGGCCATTTGGCCTATCATGTCTGCACTATTATCTCGTGCCTATCTCTTGCCTTCTTCACATATCCGTGCATACCATTTCTATTGAACTGATTATCTAATGTCTTTTTGAATGCCTCAATTGAACCTGTGTCCACCACATTACCAGGTCGTGCATTCTCTCCCCGAATTGTGTGAAAAGGTTTTTTTCTCATATCGCCCTTGCTCTGTTTGCACTTCACTTTAAATCTGTGCCCTCATTCTTTTCTCTTTTATGAGCTGGGATAATCTGTCCCATCTACTTTATCCAATCCACACATGATTTGCAAACCTCTAACAAATCTCCTTTTTGTCTTGGAGCTGGAGGAACACGGCAGGCCAGGCAGCATCAGAGAAGCAGGAAAGTTGACATCTCGGGTTGGGACCCTTCCTCAGAAATGGGGAGGGGGAAGGGAGCTGGGAAATAAATAGAGGGAGGAGGGGTGGGCCTGGGGAAAGGTAGGTGGGATGGTGGTAGGTTGGATGCAGGTAA